GGTAGATTTGACGAACCGGTTCTACCGAACTGGTAGGAACTGGTAGGAACCCACCTGTGATTCTCTTGGTACCCAAAGCTATTGTTATCGGAGAAAATGTGGTCCTTCAGAAGTGGTTCACCCAGTGCTGTTGTAAGAACTAGGCTCCACACATCGCAGCTTTGCAAATCCAGTGCCTGTGTTTTTTTTAAGTGGGAAAGAATAGTAGGACAAAATATTCTCGCCCATCTTTTCATTACGTTGTCTATGCAAATTATCAGGATAAATATGATTGCGTAAGAGGCAAAAGATGAGCTAAAAGAACTTTTCTTCCAAATTCTGCTATTTACAAATAGAATATTGTTGGATCGATGCCCAGTGAGGTGAAAGTGTATTAGAAGGACAGGACAAAGAAAAGGTGCAGTTTTAGCACAAAGTCAGAAGGGATAGTTTTACAGACTAACTTGCAATAGCAAGATATGAAAACTGTTAAGCCAAGTGGGCATTGCTTAGTACGGAAGTATTGATATGAGACTGTGTGCTGTTTAAATATTGGACAAATCACATTTGCACGCTTCTTTGTATCCACCTGTAATCACCACTTTAATTTTCATTTTCAGACATATCGGAAAGCATCTTCAAAAGCCAAAGTGAAAGAGATTCCCGTGGTGACAGAAATTAAGAATGGGTTCCATAAAGACTACCTAAGGGAAATTAACGGTGCTCTGAAGAAGCAAAAAGCACAATAACCATATTTTTACTATTACATTGTAGAAGACAAATACCTCTTTTCTAAATCAAAGCAAAATGATTATACACAACTTTAGTACAATTTTAAACTCGGTGGTAGTTGATTCTTCTACTCTCTATTTCATTGATGTTCTTTTTAACAGTAAATCTTGTACATGGTGAAGGCACTTATCTCTTTTACCCGGCTGAAGTCAAACTGCATTTTGTAATTCTTAACATAGAGAAGATGCCTTGAGAACTTTCCCTTTAATAACAAAGATTTGGATATTCTTGAATAGGATCTAAAAAGTTAAACTAGCAGCAGACTGCAGTCTATGAGAAAACAATGTATTATTTGTTCAGTGATACAGCTCACTCCTTTTTTGTGTTAGTTTCCCTTGATTTATAATAGAGGGGAAAAATCTGTGTGCTCAAAACCTTAGTTGTTGCCTTGATGGTGCTATAGATTATCACCCATTCTAAAGACAGGATGGAATACATCGTGCAATGGGATTCATTACAAATTCACATTTAGCTATAGTGGAACCATCTGAACATTAGTGTGGCTGTATGCCATCTTTTTAAAATGCACTGTTTTAAAACTGGACAAGAATAGCGCCATAAACCTCTCCTTAAATATTTGTATCTGTAGCTGTATACCTTAAAACACCATGACAATCACACAACGGCCTGAATGTTATTAATGTTGGAGGTTGACGTCCAAAAATTTTGGTTTTGTTCCCAAATGTCAATTGTTTACTTTGAAATGCAATAGGGATACTTTCTATTCTCATTATGCCACATCTACAGAGGACTAAAACCAATTCAGCAAATCAAATGGCTGGTTGAGCGTTCGATAACGTTAATATCATGAGACTAGCAATGCAATAAGATAACTCAGTCTTGCTGGAAGCAAATTTGCCCATGTATGCCAACTTGGCATTTTGGATGCCAAGTAAAACTCTACTCACATGAGATGTGAAAAGCTATATATCCTTAGTATTCAAAGACTGATGAAGGGACTACCCTACACAGAGCTAAATGCATTTATCCAGTTTGACACTTTTTCTATTGTTATAGAAATAAGTAACAGGTGGAGAAAAGCATTTGCAAAGCTAGTAATTCCACACACTCAAGACAAGGGACATGCTCAGTTTTAAAAGTAAAATGATGATGGGGGGGAGGGGGGACAGTTGGTATTTGGCTGGTCATTTTACACACCATATCTGTATTTTTAGTGTCTGACTTAATAACCAGTTTGGGAGAGTACTTTATTATCATTCCTATTGCAGAGGGAGGAAGACATGAAAAGAGAACACAGCCAGAGAGCCACTGCAAACATTTATTTTTCACCAATTCAGCTTAAGTATTTCTCTGAAAGGTTCAATAGTTATGATTCAGGAATTTTGTATTATAATTCCTAAAAGAAGTTTCATTTCTTTTATGTAATTTCCCATAACTCCCTACTGAAAGTCAACATTAAAATCCCTAGAAAAACATCATTCCATCAGAAGCAGAGGTGGTATTCTACTGGTTTGNTGACGTCACTCCAACTGCAATGTGAGAATTTGACTGGCACACAGGCAGCTGAGCATTCCATCAGCTGAAGGGAGTGGGTTTAAAATCCCCTTAAGTGAATCTATGCTTCCCCAAAAAAAGAGAGAGGAAAAAAGGAATTCAGAATGGTGCACGAGACAAGTCCTTCTAGATGCTAGATGGTTTTTCTTTCCAGCTGGAATTAAATGCAAAAAAACCCAGCTTATAAAAACTAATATTTCTCTTTTTGGGGGTGGGGGAAGCCTAGCAAACTGACCTCGATGTATTATTTATGAAACGAACAGGTTGTAAGCAAGGGGGCAATTGGAGTAAAGTGTTCCCACTACACTTAATTACGGTACTCTCAATTTCCATCGTCTCTAAATATGGAAGTTGCCTTTTGCAGGTAGCCTTGGCAAGCAAGTTGCCGCTTATGGAACATAGGGAGTCCATGGCAGTGGTGAAATTCAATTGTTTTTACTACCGTTTCTGTGGGCGTGGCTTGGTGGGCATGGTGGGCGTGGCTTGGTGGGTGTGGCAGGGGAAGGATACTGCACAATCTCCATTCCCTTCCCACTTTGGGGCCAATCAGAGGTGGCATTTGCCGTTTCTCCGAACTACTCAAAATTTCCGCTACCGGTTCTCCAGAACCTGCTGGATTTCACCCCTGGTCCATGGTTTACAATAGTTTATATTACAGATTAACAAGTGTTGGAAGGGACCTTATAGGTCATCTAGTCCAATCCCCCCCCCCCAACCCAAGTTGGAGACCCTACACCATTTCTCAATCCATCAGAATAGAGATGAAAGGGATCTTGTAGGTCATCTAGTCCAACCCCCTTCTGCCCAAGCAGGAGACCCTACACCATTTCTGACAGAGGGCAGTCCAGTCTTTTCTTGAAAGCCTCCAGGGATGAAGCTTCCACAACTCCTGAAGGCAACTTTTGTTCTATGGGTTGGTTGATCTCACTGTCAGAATCTTTCTCCTTATTTCTAAGTTGAATCTCTTCTTGATCAGTTTCCATCCATTATTCCTTGTCTGGCCTTCGGGTGCTTTGGAAAACAGCTTATAATAATAAATAGCTTGAAAATAAATAGTCCATTTAGTGACAATCCGAAGTTATAACAGCACTGGGGGCGGGGGGGGGGGAAGATCTTCACACTTACGATTGCATCCCCATGGTCACAATTTGGACGCTTGGCCATTGACTCTTACTTATGACTGTGACAGTGCACCGGGGAGAGGCCAATCCCCTTTTTCAACCTTCTGACAAGCAGAGTCAATAGGAAGGCAGCTTCGCTTAATGACCGTGGGACTAACTTAACAGCAGCAGCAATTTCCTCCCTTAAACGCGATAAGAAAAGTTGTCGAATGGGGCAAAATTCACTTAGCGACATAAACTTTGGGCTGGATTGAGAGTCATAAGCCGAGCACTACCTGTGTGCACAGGTGTATGCCCAATGGTGCAAGATGCACATTTTTTTTTCTTAACCTACATCATATCTTCCAAGTGAAGAGTAGTGAATCTTAACAAGGGATCTGAAAGGATCTCCAGCTGTAATGGCTCATCATATCTCTTTTTGCCTTTCCTAGAAAACATAAGAAGTGATTTGTCAGGGGTTTTCAATGCCCAGATATGTTCTGCACAGAGCAGAATAACAGAGTTGGAAGGTACCTCGGAGGTTGTCTAGTCCACCCCCTGCTCAAGCAGGAACCCCTATCCCATTCCAGTTAAACAGCTGTCCAATCTCTTCTTAAAAAACACTTAGAGAGGGCTGTAAAAGCACTGTGAAATGGCACATAAGTCTATTGCTATAGCTAATTGGACATTGCATTAAAGAGCTGTGGTGGCGCAGTGGTTAATATGCAGTATTGCAGGCAAACTCTGCCCACTGCCCACAGTTCAATCCTTTCCGGTTCAAGGTTGACTCAGCCTTCCGTACTTCCGAGGTGGGTAAAATGAGGACCCAGATTGTTTGGGGGCAATAGGCTGACTCTGTAAACCGCTTAGAGTGGGCTGTAAAAGCACTATGAAGCGATATATAAGTCTAAATGCTATTGCTATTGGGCCATCCCCAGCTGGGCCAATGCATCCAGATGTTTGCCCGCGTCATCCAGCCACCCAACTGATCACCCACCCAACTAGCCTTAAATAAAACCTAGCAGGATGGCAGGGCCAGGGACATCTTGCTGTGCCAAGGAATTTTGAGTCTCCTTGGCAGAGAGGTCTGACTTAATACTACAAGAAGTATCTTCCTCCATCCGAGAGAGAGAGAGACACGTAGATTTTTGCCTCGAGTAGAAAGTCATCAGCCAGTGCAACGATGTGGAATGTCGGATTAAACGTATCATTTGTCACATCTGATCTTGCTGATACCCATTTCTCTCACAATTGGGAAACTGTCAACTAGAAAAGTTGACCTTCCCAAACAATATTCTCCCCGCCCACCCCTCAAAAAAACCCCGGAAGATAGCTGAGTAATGAATTACAAAGGAGAAGAAGAAGAAAAAAACACACACCTCTAAACAAACATTCTTTGTTACAGACTCTTTAAAAGTTTCCAGTTTCTTTTCTTTTTTTTTCCAAACCAAACAAGACCTATTTCACATCAGACAAGAGGCCTAAGGGTGGAGAGGACATAAAAAAAAAAACCGGGAGCGTTAGTGGTTTTTTGGGGAGACATTTAAAAACAACAGCTAGACATTTCCTCGAGGGTGGAGGGTTAGGGGGAAGTCGCAGCTGCGCCAAACATTTCCGAGATCTGGTGTGGGGTTGGCTTATAAAGGAGTGCAATTGTGTCCCTTTTCGTAAAAGGTGCCCAGAGTGGGGAGCTGGCCAGGATTAGTGGATTAAAACAAACACACAAATGAGATGGAAAGAATGGGAAATAAGTCTTCCAAGTCCATCCAGCATCTTCTTAAGTGGGGTGTGAAGAAGATTCCCCCTGACATTCCATCTCTTGCAGTTGGCTCATTCTCTATGTCAGAACAGGGTCTGTTTTTTCCTTCCCGTACCGCTGGATGATTTCACTACAAACAATTTTACCGATCGCCTGCAGCTAAGAACGTAAGTCGAACGTTGTGTTTGGACAATTATTGCGTTGCCAGACAGCTTCCCTTACTGAGACGTCATTAATTCAGGCTTGCGTTATATGTGTGTGTGTGTGTGTGTGTGTTAAAAAGAACAAACAAACCCACTCTACACTTGCAAACAGTAACGTGCAGTCTTTGATCTAAAATACACGCGCTAAAAAAATCGGAGCAACTATCACCCCAGTTTCTACATTTATGGCACAAACTGTTGGCACCATTGTCGGTCAACAGACCTTGGAAGAATTGATATGGGAGAAGGGGTAGAGAACAAAGATATGTATGTATGTGTTTTTCCCATCTTAAGGTGTCGAATACCTTCTCAAGTGGTAACTATAAATCTTAATGCAATGATCCCAACAGTCCAGGACCAACAGCTGACCTTTGGGGGTGACAGCTATGCCAACGGGGCAGGTCAGACCTTCCCGGATGAGGATATTGTAGCCGCCCCCTTTGGGGAAATGTAAGATTTCTTTGCGGCTGCTGTCGGCCACAATCAGATCCCCCCGCGAGTCCACACACATGCCGGCGATACAGCGGAAATCTTCATTCTCGGAAAAAAAGTGACTGATTTGTCGGCCCAGCTGTCCGTCCGGACCGACGGAGCCGATGGAAAACCCACCTTCCAGGTGATGTTCATGTTGGCGGTTCTCCAGATTCAGGCCCAGCCCCTGGGTGAAGTAGATGGTCCCTTCGGTGTCGCAAGTGACAAACTTAGGACGCACGGCGCTGCAGAGACAACTGTACTTCACCACCCCGACTCCCCGGTCCACCGTGAAGCACCACAGCTTGCCTCCTTCAACATCGGTCACCACAAACTGCCCCGAGGGCAAGGCGGTGATGCCCCACGGCTTGCTCAGCTGGCTTCGGTGGCACGCCACGCAGTGCCCGTCCATGGTGTACACTTTCATCGAGTTGTCGTAGCTGTCGGTCACCCCGATCAGCCCGTGGCAGTTCATGGTGACCGACAAGGGAGTCAGGTTGGGCAAGTCAGCCCCGAGGAAGCTGAGAACAAAACTGTCGATCCCGCTGGGGCTCCGGCGAATTTCCTTCAAAAAACCCTTACGGGTAAAGACTTGGATACGGAAGTTGCCACGGTCCGCCACGAGGACCTCTCCTTGCGGGGTGACGTGAAGGCTGACCGGCAGGTTGAACGTGCCTGGTGTGTTACCCTTTGAGCCCATTTTCTTGAGAAAGTGGCACTGTTGGATGCTGGAGGTTGCCTCGGACATCCTTGGCTTCGCTGGCGAGGAGCAATGGGACAATGGGTTGACCTCTTCTGCAGGGAGATCTGCTTCTCTGGACCCCGATGCTTCCACCGTTGTCTCCATCAAGGTCTCCTCGACGTTGATGCTCCGGGGTTTCTTGACAACTTGCCCTATCTGGAGAGGTCCGATATGGCCAACCTTGAGGAGTTCCACCTCTTGTAGAGTCAGCTCTTTGGGAAGGCTGCTCATCAGCTCCGGTTCCTCCTCTTCTCCTTCGTCCTCAAGAAGGGCGATGTCTCCCTGTTTGATTTTGGCAAGGAAGTAATCGCAGCGCGAGACAATCTGGACCTCGGCAATGTTGAGGAGGTAAGCTTGCTCCTCCATGATCTGGCTGTTCACCTTCTCCACCTCGGAGAGGGAGCCGGTGAAGAACTTCCGCGACCTGGCCAACTCTTCTTGGACTTTGCGCTCTTCTTTGCTGTACTCTTGGAGGACGGCTTTGTACCTGCCTTGGAGGTCCTTCGAAACCCCTTCCAGGGACCCCTTCCTCTTCTGAAGGTCCCCCATCAGCTCGCGGAGGCGTCCCAGCCTGGCCCCAAAGTCCCTCCTCTTCTCGTCAGCGGCTTCTTTGATGGCCACCACGGGGTGATGCTGGTGGAGGCGCTCCGACTCTTTGCAAGGCTCGCACAGCACCAGGCTGCAGGTCCGGCAGAAGTGCTTGGGCAGCCTCCGCCCGCACGCTTTGCACATGAGAACGCCGACGGTCTCGCTCAGCCCCGCCGTGTCGATGATCTTCAAGATGGTCAGGTTGTCGGTCAGCTGAGCCAGGCTGGCGATCCGGGTGACTTTGCTACAGAAGGGACAACGGATGCCGTTGATGCTGCTGGCCAGGAGTTTCTCCGAGCACTGTTTGCAGATGGTGTGGCCGCAGTGGAGCAGCTTGGGTCGCAGGTGGTCTTCGGTGAAGCACTCCATGCATATGGGGCACTCCAAGACTTCGCGGAGGGCGTCCGAGTTGAGTTGAGGGGCAGCAGCCATGGTGGGGGAGCCAAGACGAGATGGCTGGCATCAATTCTCCAGATCTTTATGACCTGTTTGGAGGGGGAAAGAGAGAAATAAAATATGTGCAGCTCACGTTTCAAATGAGGAGCCCTTAAGTGTTCCCTGAGCTTGGTTGTCTTCTTGCAGGCGTTTCATGACCCAACTAGGGAACGTCATCAGTGCTAGATCAAGGATGATCATCAGCGCACTGATGTTGTTTCCTACTTGGGTTCATGAAACATCTGCAAGAAGACAACCAAGCTCAGAGAGCACCAAGGACCCCAGTCCTTCTCCTCCTCCTCTTCCTCCACTACTACTCCTAGCACTGATGATGTTACCTAGTTGGGTAATGAAACATCTGCAAGAAAACAACCAGACTCAGAGAGCACCAAGGATCCCACAATCCTTCTTCTCCTCCTCTTCCTCCTTCTCCAATACCTCTTCTAGCACTGATGATGTTACCTAGTTGGGTAATGAAGAAGTCTGCAAGAAAACATCCAAGCTCAGTAAGCACCAAGGATCCCACAATCCTTCTTCTCCTTCTCCTCTTCCTCCTCACTACTTCTTCTAGCACTGATGATGTTACCTAGTTGGGTAATGAAACATCTGCAAGAAAACAACCAGGCTCAGAGAGCACCAAGGACTCCACAAACCTTCTTCTCCTTCTCCTCCTCCTCCTCCACTGCTTCTTCTAACACTGATGTTGTTACCTAGTTGGGTCACAAAACGTCTGCAAGAAGACAACCAAGCTCAGAGAGCACCAAGGACCTCTCCAGAAAGAAACAGGCAGATCTTATTTATTCAATACATTTATGAAGCCTCTCATCTGACTTGTAGGAACCTCTGGATTACAAACCGAGTTAAAACACCAGGAAAATCAGAATTTTCTGTCCTTAAAAACCATTAAAAACCTGGAAGGCAGGACAAGAAGCAATGGGTGGAAACTAATCAAGAAGAAATCCTTCTTTCTCTCCTTCCTTCCTTCCACCCTCCCATCCTTCTCTCCTTCCTTCCCTCCTTGCTTCCTTCCTTCCTTCTTTCCTCCCTCCCTCCTCTCCTTCCTTCCAATACTCAGGGGGCTGCCCCAAAGAAGACTCTGTCAATCTGTTCTCCAAAACACCTGGAAGACAAGACAAGAAGCAATGGGTGGAAACTAATCAAGGAGAGAAGCAGCTTAGAATTAAGGAGAAATTTCCTGACAGTTAGAACAATTAACCAGCGGAACAACTTGCCTCCAGAAGTTGCGAATGCCCCAACACTAGAAGTCTTTAAGAAGATGTTGGATAGCCATTTGTCTGAAATGGTATAGGGTTTCCTGCCTAGGACTAGAAGACCTCCAAGGTCCCTTCCAATACGGCTGTTCTGGTTGATCCTGACCATCTCAAGGTTGACTCAGCCTTCCCTCCTTCCGAGGTGGGTAAAATGAGGACCCAGATTGTTGGAGGGGGGGGGGCAAGAAGTTGACTCTGTAAACCGCTTAGAGAGGGCTGTGAAGCAGTATATGTCTAAGTGCTATTGCTATAGTATTCTGTGAAATTCAACCAGGCAGAGAGAGTAGAAGGTACTCTAACAATATGGCCCTTCAAGGGGCGTTGTGTATGTATGTGTGAAAGGAGAGAGAGAGAAAGAGAGAAAGAGAAAGAGAGAGAGAGAATGAAAGAGAGAGGGGGGGAGGGAGAGAGAGAGGGAGAGAGAGAGAATGAATTATGTCCACTTCTTTCTGGCAGTTAGTGGTGAATTTAACAGATGGATCCCAGGCCTGCTGAGTAGAAGACCACTAAGAAAAACATCTCAAGGACATCCAAAAGACATGTGGTGCATCACACCTGCTAAAGCAACGCCTGCAGATTTAAGCACGTAAACAAGCAAAGTTTTGATGATTTCTGGAACATCCCTTCTGGGAGGAAAACCAGCCTCTCTTCCAACTTCTAATCATTTTATTTGAAGCCTCCTCCTGACCCTGCAAACATAGACAGATATTTTAGCACCTGCTTAAAACTTGGAATGACCTCCAAGGAGAAGAAATGAAAAAACAAAGGACAGCTAGCTTTTCTCCCGAGCTAAACTCACAAATCTTGGGAGAAATCTCTAGTTGGAGGTGGCAAGGTGTGAAAACTCGTGGAAACAGCGAAGTTCAAAAAAGAGCAAATGGGCATCGCTACAAGTCTCTTTAAAATCCAAGGATAGAAGTTTAGACGGTTTATTAAGAAAAGTATTAATAACAACAACAACAACAACAACAATATCTCATGTTTCCCAAATGACATGGTCATTCATCATTGGGGGGTATGGAAAATTCAGGAAATCCAGTTGGTCAGAATTTAATTATTTGTGCTTTCCTTGGACATTGTCATGAGATTCAACAGTAGCTACAGTGTTTTTAATTGGGGTCTAATTTAGAGACATATATGTATGCACATTTGTGGGTGCGGATATTTTATTCTGGGATGGAATGGAGAATGGAATGGAATAGAATAGAATATGGAATGGAATAGAATATGGAATGGAATGGAATAGAATATGGAATAGAATAGAAAATGGAATGAAATAGAATATGGAATGGAATGAAATAGAATAGAATAGAATAGAATATGGAATGGAATAGAAAATGGAATGAAATAGAATAGAATAGAATATGGAATGGAATGGAATAGAATATGGAATGGAATGGAATAGAATATGGAATGGAATAGAATAGAGGAATGGAATGGAATAGAATAGACTATGGAATTGAATAGAATAGAATATGGAAGGGAAGGGAAAGGAAGGGAAGAGAAGAGAAGAGAAGAGAAGAGNAAGCAAGGGAGTATGATTTCTGATCATTTCAGAATTGCACAAACAAATATCAGTGGGATTAGGAACAGTGGGCTGGCAATTACAAAGATACAGGTGTCTGGAAGTAGACACTTATATCTAGCACCTGATCACTCACACAAAGCCCTATTCTGAGCACTCTCAAGAAAACCTGCTATTGCAGGCCCTGGTGAAATCAATTGCTCCTAATTTTCTTGCTTCTCTTGCCTGCCTTGAAGAGAAGAAAATGTTGCTTCCTTTGCTGCTTGTTAATACAAATTGCTGGAAGCCAGTTTCACTGACAAGCTGTACAAATTTTCTCTAAAAAAAAAGCTTGAACATGCAGTAGGAGAAAATACTTCTTTGGGAATTAGGAACAGATTTAATGCAGCCACAAAACCCTGGAAAAAGAGTTTTATAAAAAAAAAATCAAAAAATGTGCTTTATATGAGCTCCCAATTCCAAATTATTTGAAGGAATTGCAGAACTGTATGTATTGCCATTAATGTAAAGCACATGTATCTGTTTTAGCAGTATCAATATATGTAGAAACTGACCCATTCAAAACAGGCTTTGTAATTATTAACACTTAATTATTTGGTGTTACACAGTTAGTGATGACATTAATTTTTTTTAAAGTTAAAAATAACATTACACACATATGTATTGGTGAGTGTGTATTGTTAGAAGAAAAACCCAGTTCCAGTTCCAAGCCAGGAATAAAATGGAGGCTGACTGGAAAGAAAGATTCTGTGTATTGGTGAACAGAACCAACACACACAAACAGTGTGCATTTCTGGGACAGCTGACCAAAATGAAGTTGAGAGTGGGTGGGTTTTATACCTTTTAGATCCCCCTGGGGTCAGGTAGGGGTCGTGGCTGGTCCTATTGCACGGTTGTTAAACTCACAGTGTCACATTGCCATCATGTAACATTTTGTGAACCTTTTTCCCATTCATGGAGCTGGGGTGTGGGTGGCCTGTGCATAACACATCCAGCCTCCACCCACTGAATGTGTGTGTATGTGCACGTGCCAGTGGTGGGTTGCAGGCAGTACACCCCAGTAAGGGCGTAATGGAGCTAGCCCGAAGCACCAGATACCGTTCCGGTACGGTGCTCCGGAGGGCCCACCTGCCTGCCCAAGCTCCTTACCTGTCTTTTAAGGCTTCCATGCTTCCATGATGCACATGGAGCATACAGCACCTGCGCAATGCTCCGCTGAGCAGCTGGAACATTGCAGAGGCTTGAGAAAGCCTTGTTGACAGGTAGGATGCATGCACGCATCATGCGCATGTGTCTGTGTGCTGGGTGCATGCATGTGGGTGACGCAGGGGCCCACCACTGGCACGCGCACATGCGCATACCTATCCACTACCCATACATATATAAATAAAAGAAGAATATCAAGCATCAATAAGAATTTTGGATATTAATATAAACTCCAAGCTAAACATCTCAGTTATACATCTCAGTTTTACGCTGTAAAAATTTCACTGCAAGTTCAAAAGAAATCAGAAATAATTTGGCCCAATCTGCTAATTGATATGAAATTATACATTGCATGGCACTCTTTTCTGCCTAGGACCCTTTTGATCACTGAGATACACTGTGAAGAATCTAGAATTCTATATTGATTGTGCATGTACTATTTATGATGAAAATTATATATCAGATGCAATTCTCAAATAGGTAATGGAATTATTTACTGAAACTACCAGAGAAAAATCCATTAAGAGTGTGCTTATATTGCACGTTGTATAAACTCGCATAATTTTCTATTTTAGGCCATCCTATGGTAATATATATCCAATTTTCACTCAATTGTCACTTGTACAAGATTTATACAACTATCTTCTAAAGCTTTTGTGTATTATATAAAGCAGAATAGAACATAAAAATCATAAAATAATATTCTGATTATAGTTTTCATATCTGAATTGAAAGGCCTTATTTGTAGCAGGGCAGCATCTATTCTGAATCAAATCTAATGCATACACTCCTTAATCATATACAATTTATGGAGGAAAATGCATCATTTACAATAGTGATTTGCAATACTTATCAAGTGATATGAAAAGTGATATGGAATCCTTTACTGAAGTGCTACCTTCTTGAATTTTACATTTCTCTGCAGCTCTCAAAAAGATTCATGGATATATTTTTATAGAAATTGCATAAGAATACTGTATATATAAGAGTGTCACCTATTATATTCTTCCAGGCATTCCCCCACTACCACCTTTTTCAGTCCAGCTTCCCATATCCTAAAATTCATTCACCAGATCCAGATCTGTTTGTCTTCTGAGCACATATAGTCAACCTGGGATGTCTTCTATGTAGGCACATCTTTTTAAAATATAAACCCATAAAATCAGCACAGATTCTAGACTCAGGAAGATAGATGGCAATGTACATTTATTAAATGATGGTATGTTTTTAGCTTTGTTGTTAATCCTTTTTAAATCTGTGATTC